ATTTTCCCTTTGTCTATTTTATTTTCAGAAAGGAGAAGCTATGTATCTTGGATTTTGTTCTTGTTGTTTATGACATTACCATATTAATACAGGAAAGACTAAGGATATCAAAATGACATCTTGTTTGAAGAGTGCCAAATAATTTTATTAGGGATTGTAATTGGCAAAAATTTGGCTCCTATGACTTTTGTTCTCTGGTGTCACATGTGTTTATTAATATGTTACATTGGATTATAAAAGGGATTATGCAGATGTAATTAAGATTAATAATCAGAAGACCTTAAATAGGGAGATTAGCCTGGATTTTCCAGGTGGGCCCAATGTAATTACACAAGTTCATCACAGTCAAGGAGGTATGGCAAAAGTCAGAGGTTTGAAGTGTGAGAGGGACCCAACAGTCATTGCCAGCTTTAAGGTGAGGAGGGAAACTGTGGAAAAGGGAATGAATTCTGCCAATGCCCTGAATACTCTTGGAAGCAGATTTACCCCCAGAGACACCAGAAAGGAATGCAACCATGTCTAAACCTTGATGTCAGCCTAGGGATATCCTGACCAGAGAACCCATCCATACTGGGCTTCTGACCAGAAGAATTGTGTGCCAATAAACAGAAGTGTTCCCTTTTTTTTTTGAGACAGAGGGAGTCTCCCTCTGTCACCCAGGCTGAAATGCGATGGTGCGATCTCGACTCACTGCAACCTCTGCCTCCCAGGTTCAAGACAGTCTCCTTCTTCAGCCTCAGGAGTAGCTGGGATTACTGGCACCCACACCAGCCGGGTTCCACAATGTTGGCCAGGTTGGTCTTGAACTCCTGACCTCAGGTGATCTGCCCGCCTCAGCCTCCCAAAGTGGTAGGATTATAGGCGTGAGCCCCTGTGCCCAGCCTGGAAGTGTTCTTTAAGCCTCTAGGACTGTGAGCATTTGTTAAGGTGGCATGGACAACTAACAGATTAGTAAGGAAACTCTGCCATTCACGTAGAAAAGTCACAACTTGCTAGTAATGTCTCCTCTCACAGTGAGAAATTGGCCATGTCCTTTTCCTTCAGGTTTCCTCTGGTCTGTTGTACCACGTCTCTTCATCTTCCCCTATATGTAGGAACACATGGTTTGCTTTCCTGAGTCATACATGGCAAAACCTAAGGTCCCCCATTACCAGTTGTCAAAGCATCCTTTGACATGAATTAGTTGTGACACTCGTTCGTATTTTGTAGATAGGAAAATACTGATAGCATCTGTGGCTTGTACCTTGTCACCAATAGATCATTCTGGCATAAAATACCAATGGGACTTTAAATTTCTGACTTCTTGTGGATTGACACAAAACTTTCTGGTTCATGGTAATTAATTTGGAAAAGGCGAGGAAATCCGAGCTATATTAAAATATGAAGCCCAATTTCCTCCAAATAGCTTCTCCCACTTTCTCTGTTTCTGTTAGTGATGCTATCTAACACTACCTGAAAGGTTTGTTAGCCACTTAGTGAGGCCAGTGGTGTTGAGGTCATCTAACGTATTGTTCTCCTCAGCTGCAACCACATCTGGTCCTCCCACCACTCCCAAAATTCAGATAATTGCAAAGTCATATGGCTTCTACCTCCACACTGTCTGTATATTCTATATGAACTTTTCAATCTAAAAATACTTCTTCTAGCCAGACACAGTGGCTCACTCCTATAATCCCAGCACTTTGCGAGGCTCAGATGGGCAGACTGCTTGAGCTCAGAAACGAGACCAGCCTGGGCAACATGGTGAGACCCCATCTGTACTAAAAATACAAAAAAAAAAAAAAAATGCTGGGCATGGCGGTGCATGCCTTCAGTCCCAGCCCTTACCTGGGAGGCTGAGGTGGGAGTGTTGCTTGAGCCCTGGGGGCAGAGGTTGCACTGACCCAAGATCACACCACTGCACTCCAGCCTCAGCAATAGAGTGAGACTTTCTCTTAAAAAAAAAAAAAAAAACACTATTTTTTATCTCCCTTCTCTCCTCCTGTCCAAATATCCTTCCTGAAGTTATGAGCTGATCGCATGACTCTTGCGTGTGAACTTCACTGGCTGCTGAATCGGGTTTACATTCCTCACTCACTCTGTTTTCTGATGCCTCAATCAGCCTTAACTCCTGCTCCAGTCAAGGGCATAATTTTCTTACCTGAGATGAACACGCTTTTGCTGCCAGGACTTGCCCACTTAGTTCATTCTTCTCAAAATGCCAACCTTCATTTCTTTCTCTGTCCAGTGTTCAAGGCCCACCTCAAACACCGCTCCTCTCTGAAGCTTTTTCTGTTTTTTCCTTCCTTTCCTCTGCCAGATACCACTTTTCTTCTTATTCCCAAAGCAGCATAACTGATTCTAAACACACATGGTGTTTTTTGAAAAACTAGGGTGTTAAAATGAGTTTTAAAGATGATGGGTTTGTTTTCTTTCCTTTCTGTTGTTGTTGCATTCCTGTTTAATCATTCATTGTTTTTGGTTTATTAGAAGTAGGTTATAGGGGAGGGGCAGCGGGGGGTGGGGAGTTGGGGAGAGATAGCATGGGGAGAAATGCCAGATACAGGTAAAGGGGAGGAAGACAGCAAATCACACTGCCACGTGTGTACCTATGCAACTATCTTGCATGTTCTTCATGTGTACCCCAAAACCTAAAATGCAATTTAAAAAAAAAGAAGTGGGTTATACCTAAGATAGGATTTTGTTCAATTATTTGGGTAAGGAAGGAAGCATCACTGATAGTTGTAATGTGAGAACTAATTATACTGTTATTTAGATGTCTGCTGGCTGGGCTGATGTTCTGTGACTAGGACTCATTTAGATGTTACGCTGTCTCCCATTCATAATCTGATTTTAAAATGTGAAATTAACTTTACATGTCCTTAGAATAAGAGATATATGTGGGAAGGGGGTAGAGGGAGCCAGGGACAGATGGGTGGGGACGGAGTGTTGGGGAAGAAAAGGAAGACAATGTCAAATGGAAAAAAAACTCTGTATAATATAGATATGGATAATAACAAGAAAAATGTGTAATACAAAATATGCCTCTATAATTTCATGCAAACTTGAACAAACACATGAACAATAACCCCGAGGAAATACAATTTAAGATTATGAATGAGAATTCTGGAGGCGTGGTGTGTGGCTTGTTGCATATGTGACCTTGGGCAAATCCCGTACCTCCTCCTTGCTTGCTTCTTCACCTGTCACGTGGGGATAACAACAGTACGTGCGATTATGGAGTAGTGAGAGTTACATGAGTTTCTATATGAAAGCACCTAGCATGCATAGTGCCTGCCACATGGCGGGTCCCGAGACCATGAGGAGGCTGGTGAAGAGGCTCTTTGCTGCCTTTACAGTGGGTTTTGCAGCTTCTGTTTTCCTGTAATCTTTTCTTATCTTGCCCATCTTTTTTTCATCTCATTCTGTTGATTTTCGTCTTAGTCTGCGTTCTCTTTGACTTTCCATCCCATTTACCTCAGTTTGTATTTTTGAGTATATTATTGAAGATGCCAGGAAGCTTCCTGACATTTCATGCCGTATTCTATTAGAAATCATTTTTAAAAGTATAGTGGCTTCTTTTTTCCTGAGTTATGTTTATGCTTATTTTCCCCCAACTCTGAAATCTTTTTCATAAGCTCTATATCATCTGTTTATTTTTCCCTCACCAATTTTCAAAGAAGTCAATAATACTTCAAAATTGGTAGTTAATTGAAAGATATGGCTAAAGTGGGGAATTATAAACACTTAAGTGTTCATTTTAACTCATTTTTCATTAACTTAAATCATATGGATCTATTTTATGCACTAATCTTTAATTCAGACCCCAGGTCTTTTATGAGTTCACCAATTTGGATACTCATGTTTCTCTTACATCAACCTGCCCCTATCAAAGGTTTCCAGTCTCATCTCTTTAAAGTGAAATGGGAACTTAAAGATGTGCCTGAAGCCAACAGTGCAGAAGCTCTCTAACGTTTACAAATGTTTTCTGCTCGTTCACAGCTGTCACCCATGTTTTTACAGCAGTTCTTTTAGTGACGGTCCAAAGCATTAAACGTAGGTTCTATAGAAATAACAACTCCAATGTTGCGTTCATATTTTATTGGTTTGTGTTATATTTAGTTACATAATTATAACAAGTGCAATTTATCAAAATGCGGTTTATAATAAACCATACTGAATCACGTAAGCATGAATTTAACTAGTAACGGAAGTAAGCAAAGTTTATGAAAAGGCGGCCTGAGTCAGGCATATTCTGTTGTGTGGGCATTGGCCAGGATGGTTTGCAGAAATGATAGCAAGTACATCCACAGAGTCCATTAAATAGAAGTCACAACCTAGAGTTTCTGATCCAGTGGGATTGGGGTGGGGCTGAAGAATTTGCCAGCATTTCTAACAAGCTCCCAGGTGACGCTGTCTGCTTGTCCAAGGAACACATTTTGTGAGCCACTGACCCACAGCCAATGTTGATGGTGTGGATGGGGAGAAGTCTTTTCAAACATCATCAGCATGCATAGAGCGGAAAACCAAGTATTTCTTCATCGGTCTCTACCCACCTCATAGTGGATATTCCTCCTATAGGTTTTCTATTACTCTTCATTCTTGGTATTGCGTCAAATTTTCTAATAATGTGTGTGTGTGTGTGTGTGTGTGCGTGTGTGTGTGTGTGTGCGTGTGTGTGTGTGTGTGTGTGTGTGTACCTAGGAACCTTATTTGTAGATTGGCAGAGGATGCAATGAGGGCTTTGCAAGTCTTCATGTTCCTTCTCTTCGATTTCTTGGAAAAGATAAAACTACTAGTTAGCTTATCCAACCTTACTGAACACATTGTTTTCAAATCACAAGTTTCCAAGTCTCTTCACTGGAAAATAACTTATTTCTGTCTCTCAGAACTTGTGTTTTGGCAATAGCTTACCAGCTGCAGGGTAGAACGGCAGCACTGTGGGTGTGTTGTCAGCAAGTTGAAGACTTTGAGAAGGAAACAGAAACAGATTATCTGATTGCTCTGTAATCTCCTTTCAGAACTGGCTGACAGAGCTGGAGATCTTTGCTATAATCTTCTCAGCTGCTATCCACGACTACGAGCATACCGGAACCACCAACAATTTCCACATTCAAACTCGGTGAGGGTGTTGAAATGTTTGGAAAAGAGGCAAGAGGGATCAGAGAGACAGTTTTAGAAGTCAAAACGGTGTTAGTCACCTTTCTTTTGCATAGTTTTCCTATTGTGAGTTTCTGAAACTATGAACCTCTAAACAAGAGATTAGTCTGGTCAGCTTCAATCAAGACTTAGAGTTTAAGAAGCCATCTGCTCATTATTCTCCTATTTTGTTCAGATCTCATATAGATGTCCTTTCTTTCTCTATTCTAATGTTTGCTATTTGGTTATGTTCTATGCATGCTCTACCTATTTCTAACAGGAAACGGGCAGCTTACATAAAGGCCCAGGTGACGTAAAGGAAATGAACAGGGACACTGAGGCTTAGAGTGTTTTTGTTGACATTAACAACATTGAGCAATCTTACCCTCTGATCTCTGGGATTCTGATGAGATCTCTTCTCATCCTCTCTAATTTCATCTCTGCTCTGTTTAGTGCTTGCATTACTCCTTGGCATAGGGCCCCGGGAGTAAGATTGTCTCCTGTAGGCCACCTTCACTGTGAGCCACCTGTATATCCTTCCTGATGGACTGCACGGGTAAACACAAACCTCCCCATTGGAGACAGTAAATATGGGTCTAAGTGCCCCACTCTGAACCTCCTGACCTGTAACAGACATTAATTGATTTTGTTACTTTCTCTTACCAAACTGTGGTGTTGTTCTTAGTATTCCTCCAGCACAGAATTCCAGGCAATAGCACCAGTCAATCATCATTTCTACTTAGGATAAAACCTGTGCCCTCTCTGAGCCTAAGAACTTGACCTCTCTTAAGACAATAATGTGGAACTGGAGAGAAACTAACAGTAGAGTTAGTTAATTATCCTTGATATAGTAATCAAAAGGAACTAGGATACGGGGAAAGGTAGTAAGTCAAAGAGAAAGAATATAGCAGGGAGGGATGAGAATTCGACATCAAATAAATACTTGCTGATTTCTCTTGAAAAAGCAGGTGCACACTCTAGGTAGGTTTGTGTTCACTAAGTCAATCTACATGTATTTTATGAACTCAACACTTAATTATAGCATACACAAAGAAGACAGTATTGTCTGATCTCTGTTCAGAAGGGAAATCTTAATTGAACGGAAGCAGACAAAAGAACTTCAGCTACTCGTTCGGTTCCACCTTCATGCCTTCTCACTTAGTCTAAGCTGCAGAAAAGCAGCTTTGTGTGGTTCTGTTCCGAGGTCTTTAATACAGGGAATTCTGTAGGGTAGCTCTGCTTAATATGTGTCTGTGGATGGAACCTTTGCTCTGAGGACAGAGGCCGTGGTGAATAGCACCTGTCCATGGAAGAGAGGTGGGTTGGGCAACTGTATGTGGGTCTTGCCTGGAGACCAGTATCAAAACCAGTCGTAACTCAGGGGAGAATGGCTTAATTACAGGAGTTAGAACAGGGTGTCACAAAATACACATCAGTTGGTATCTAAGTTACTCAACAGATGTAACAGCAAATCTTTCACCTTGGGATTTGCATGTTCTGTGTTATCTCCCTAGGAGTGGGAAAATTCCAATGTGTTCAGTTAAGCTTGGTTTGGAATGAAATTTAAACATTGGCCGTGTTCAACAGAATCTTATCCAAAGCATCTCAGCCTGTGTGATCTCTGTTCAGAAAACAAAGTCTGTAAGCAGGCCCATAATCCTTTGATGAATAAAATGTTAAGCCTAATAGTTTCAAGGTATCCTAGATACAGCCCAAAATTTGGCCAATGGCAGGTGGAAGTTACCTTGGGGAAGCACTGGTCCAGCTGTCAGAAGATCTTGCCCTCATCCCAGCCCTGCCACCGGCCACCGAAGAGCTCTAACAAGTTCTTTTAAGTCTCTGGAGCTTAGCTTCCTTGGTGAGAAACCAATAATCCAAGCTTTCATTAAATTAAAGATCTTAACATCATGTACAGTCCAATGTTTAGTGACATTCAGCTATAGTATGAGATAGGGACTAAAAGCTGACATTACAATCTTTCTACTCTTTATTCTCAATTCTCCACATGTGGCTTTTGCATGGAAAAACTTTAATATCAAGCCACGATCAGAGGCAACCTGCAGATAGTACCCACTAGGTGATATGTGTTCTGAAAATTACAAATAAAATAAGTAAACCAGTGCATTTGTTGAGTAAAATAAGACGTAAGAAAACATTCCAGAAAATATAAAGAAGTTTGACGTGGCCCATATTTTAACAGAAACCTTTGCCACGAATACATAATTGAGATCTGGTTGTAAAACAGTTTTTAGAGAGTTTTCAGGCTGGATGTCACATATTTCCTGCCCACACATGTACCGATAGTAAAATACCCTACATTCATCTATTGATGATTTGTAGTGATTGAGCTTTTGGTTCACATAAATGGCCTGGGGACAAAGATAATTTCTAAACATGGGAAAGATGACGGTGCGTTCCAGCCTGTTAGAGTTGCCCAAGTAAATCTTAGCTATTTAACATTCTGAATTTTACTTGGCTTTCTATTCAGGTCTGATCCAGCTATTCTGTACAATGACAGATCTGTACTGGAGAATCACCATTTAAGTGCAGCCTATCGCCTTCTGCAGGATGATGAGGAAATGAATATTTTGATTAACCTCTCAAAGGATGACTGGAGGTAAGGATGAGACAAGAAAGATTTGGAGGCCAGGGAAGGAACTTTGAAGATAGATGAAATATGCTGTTTTTGAGAAAATAACACCTTGCTTAAAATGTTAATTAGTGTTGCTTTCTCTTTTTCTCACACCCTCTCTTTGTGTATGCATGTATATCTTATTTCTCTTTTTTCTTTATGCAGATATTCAAATATTTATAAATAAAGACTTTGGAATATTAAGAGTAGTTCCAACTACTCTCTTTGCCATCTTTACATTGCTTTTTATTGATGAATTGGAAAGTGGAACCAGTTTGAGTCAAATAATTCAATATTGTCCTAAAAATTCTCAAAGAAGAAAGTTTGAAAAATCACTTCCAGCAGTGTTCAACTGAGGACACTTTGGATATATTTGCTTTTCTTTAACCTTAGGAAACTTGTGTTGCTTTTATCTGAATTTCTTAAATCTCAATATTATCTTTCATTTAATAGCATGTGTTTTTCACCCTATATTTGATTTGGACTTCTTAACAATCTTTTGACATTTTCTAAGGAAATTATTTGACATTTAAAACAATTATGGGCACTTAATTCTGCTGCATGAATGAAAGACATTGTGTGTATGGATTTAGGCACATACCTGTGTTTTGGATATGGACTCGGTCACTTACTAGTTGTATAATATTAGGCAAGTGACTCAATATCTTTACATCTTAAAAAAATTTAATTTCTCAAAAATAACATTTACTTTGCAGTGAGACTAGATTATGACAAATGACATAATGATTTTAAAATGCTTAGCACACATTGTGTCATATATAGCAAGCCTATAAATTATTGTAGCTATAAATGCAGGTAAAGGTACTTGAAACCCTGCAGGCAGAGATCATCTAAATCCTTACTAACTTTTGAATCCATTGTGACTCAAATCATTTTTATATTTTAATTAAATAATCAGCTGTTTATTGAGTTTGTGCTTGCCATTTTTCAAGGATTCAGAGATAAACTATACTGAACAATAAATCTGAGAGGCTGATTTTTGTTAAGAGTGGCTATTTCCATGTAGCTTTAGTTTATTAAAACATAAGGGAATATTTGACTTAAATTTGATTTAAATATGCTAGACTCAGCCAGCATCTGAAAAAATGCAGAGCAATTCGATTAATCATTGCATAACTTCAGGAAAGAAGGAACTCTCTATCCAATTTAACTGTTTGTAAAAGTTATAATAAAATGTTTGATTGCAAAAATTTTCTCCCATTCTGTAAGTTGCCTGTTCATTCTGATGATAGTTTCTTTTGCTGTGCAGAAGCTCTTTAGTTTAATTAGATCCCATGTGTCTATTTTAGCTTTTGTTGCCAATGCTTTTGGTGTTTTAGTCATGAAGTCCTTGCCTATGCCTATGTCCTGAATGGCATTTCTTAGGGTTTTTTTCTAGGGTTTTTATGGTTTTAGGTCTTATGTTTAAGTCTTTAATCCATCTTGAGTTAATTTTTGTATAAGGTGTAAGAAAGGGGTCCAGTTTCAGTTTTCTGCATATAGCTAGCCAGTTTTCCCAACACCATTTATTAAATAGGGAATCCTTTCCCCATTGCTTGTTTTTGTCAGGTTTGTTGAAGATTACATGGTTGTAGATGTGCGGCATTATTTCTGAGGTGTCTGTTCTGTTCTATTGGTCTACATATCTGTTTTGGTACCAGTACCATGCTGTTTTGGTTACTGTAGCCTTGTAGTATAGTTTGAAGTCAGGCAGCGTGATGCCTCCAGCTTTGTTGTTTTGTTTAGGATTGTCTTGGCTGTACGAGCTCTTTTTTTGGTTCCATATGAAATTTAAAGTAGTTTTTTTCTAATTCTGTGAAGAAAGTCAGTAGTAGCTTGATGGGGATAACATTGAATATATGAATTACTTTGGGCAGTATGGCCATTTTCACGATATTGATTCTTCCTATCCATGAGCATAAGGGCTAACATCCAAAATCTACCAAGAACTTAAATAAATTTACAAGAAAAAAAAACACAAACCCATCAAAAAGTGGGCAAAGGATATGAACAGACATTTCTCAAAAGAAGACATCTATGCGGCCAAGACACATATGAAAAAAAGCTCCTCATTACTGGTCATTAGAGAAATGCAAATCAAAACCACATTGAAATACCGTTTCATGCTAGTTAGAATGGTGATTATTAAAATGTCAGGAAACAACACACTGGAGAGAATGTGGAGAAATAGAAATGCTTTTACACTGTTAGTGGGAGTGTAAATTAGTTCATGCATTGTGAGGTGAAGACAGTGTGGCAATTCCCCAAGGATCTAGAACCGGAAATATCAATTGACGCAGCAATCCCTTTACTGGGTATATGCCCAAAGGATTATAAATCATTCTCCTATAGAGACACATGCACATGTATGTTTACTGCAGCACTATTAAGGACCAACTTTGGTTGGTCCAAAGACTTGGAACCAAACCAAATGCTCATCAGTGATAGACCAGATAAAGAAAATGTGACACACATACACCATGGAATACTATGCAACCATAAAAAAGGATGAGTTCATGTTCTTTGCAGGGACATGGATGAAGCTGGAAACCATCATTCTCAGCAAGCTATGACAGGAACAGAAAACCAAACACCTCATGTTCTCACTCATGTGAGAGTTGGCCAATGAAAACACATAGACAGGGAGGGGAAAAATCACACACCGGGGCCTGTTTGGGGGGCGGGGGGTGGAGCCTAGGGGAAGAATAGTATTAAGAGAAATACCTAATGTAGACGATGGGTTGATAAGTGCAGCAAACCGCCATGGCACATGTGTACCTATGTAACAAAACTGCGGGTTCTGCACCTGTATCCCAAAACTTAAAGTATAATGAAAAAAATTTTTTTTAATAAAAATGATAAAAGGTGGCAAGGTGCAGTGGTTCATGTCTGTAATCCCAGCACTTTGGGAGGCCGAGGCTGGTGGATTATTTGAGTTCAGGAGTTTGAGATTAGTCTGACCAACATGGTGAAACCCCATTTCTACTAAAAGTTAAAAAAAAATTAGCTGGGCATGGTAGTGCATGCCTGTAGTCCCATCTACTTGGGAGGCTGAGACAGGAGAATCGCTTGAACTTGGGAAGCAAAGATTGCAGTGAGCCGTGATGGCGCCACTGCACTCCAACCTGGGTGACAGAGGGATACTCTGTCAATATACTAATGTGCTCCAAAACTTGCATTATTGCCTCTTAACGTATTTTCAAAACATACGTATGCTACTTCTGTTATACATACTTTTCTTATAGATTTTCTACTTCTGCTTAGCTACAATTTTGTCAAAAGCTTAGCTGTATTATTTGTATTTCCACTCCACTATAATCATAAGTCTCATTCATTCTTTCAATATACAATTAGGGTTGCAATGCTGGCATCGGTAGGATCTAAACCCATAGTCACCTGGAATAAAACGGAATGTATTAATGCACAGTGGAATGCGTTGCTATATATCAATGCAAACATAGTTCCTGTTCATCCTTAGTGCTTATTCTTATAAGTGGGTATTTGTGAAGCACCATTTGTGAATAATTTGAATATTGCCTCTGATCAAGTTATAAAATTAGCGATTTGCAAAACACAGGTGAATATAGTATAACAAATGGCCAAAATAGTGACTTGAAAATACAAGTTGTTGAAATTTATTTATGTGCTACCTTTGTATATTTGTGTTTCAGCATTAGCTTTATTATTTTGAAGATAAAGTAAAACATAAATACTATATCAAAGAGAATAAAATCATGGAATAGCTCATATATTGGAACACGCTGATATGGTGGAAACTTCTTTATATGTATATCCCATAACACTGTGTTTTGTTTCTATTCTCTGTTTGGGGGGATTCTATAGGTTAAACAAAGATTATAATTGATGACTTTTTAAACTTAAATTACATAGATTTAGTGTTGTGCTATATTTTCATTTAAGGATTGTTTCAAAAACATTGTTTTATTTTGTCATATTCTATTAATTTTTAAATGCAGTGCCACAAGACTTGATATTGTCTCATAAATAACATATTCTCCCATAAATAACATATTCATTTATTATCTAGGCCTCTCAGTTAAGCCCATTAACACAAATATAACATATGTATCTTATATCTTTCTATGAAAGTAATTTTAATACTTATATCCAAAAGTTCTTTTTGGATATAAGTACAGTAGACTTGGGAGGACCTTTGTAAATGAATGTGTTATCAGATATTTATTTTATTTTGAAGGGGAATAACATGGAGTTCTACTTTTGGCAAGCCAAATAAACTGTTAATAAATCAATCCACATGTAAATAACAACTATAAACCATGGACAATTAAAAAAAAAAAGAATGCGGGTTCTGGAGGGTCAACAACGTAAGGTGGGTTTTAAGGGGATGAGAAAATTTAGAGCATGTGACAGGATGAGGTGAGTTTGAGTTTGGGTTTTGTTTTTTTTTTTTTTGGTGAGGCAGCCTTTCTCCCAGGCTGGAGTGCAATGGCGCAATCTCAGTTCACTGCAACCTCCACCTCTTGGGTTCAAGCAATTCTCCTGCCTCAGCCTCCCAAGTAGCTGGGATTACAGGTGCCTGCTACTGTGCCCCACTAATTTTTGTATTTTTTTTTAGTAGAGACAGGGTTTCACCGTGTTAGCCAGGCTGGTCTCAAACTCCTGACCTCAGGTGATCCACTTGCCTTGGCCTCCCAAAGGGCTGGGATTGCGGGCGTGAGCCACTATGCCTGGCCAACATTTGCCTGGCCTCAGTCTAGGCAACAGCTTGTTGGCTAAAACTATCTCTATATAGTTGTATATGTATAAAATTTAATATATTTTTAATTAGAATTTTTGTCATCTTTCTGATCAGAGAAATCAAAGTTGGAGTCTGGAGGGTGAGACATAACCCTGGAAAAGAGAGACACAAACAATGAGAAACTAAAATGATGTGTATAACCTCTGTCCAAGTCTCTGGCTGATTCTTAAGCTATATATACACGAAATACACTGAAAGTAATATG